TCATGGAGGTTGGGTCCATGGAGTGCTATTAGCCAGGGGGTAGAAATGGTGTCCCTGGCTTCTGCTTGTGGAAGGCTGAAGATGGATGGCACGAGACAAATGGCGTGGTCATTGTCTTCGGTCCGTCCCTCCAGGGTTTCTAGTGTTGGCCGCTGTTGGCAGACAGGCTACTGGGCTAGATGGACCTTTGGTCTGACCCAGTACGGCCATTCTAAGCTCAGGGCTCAGGGTTAGGGGTCTCACTGGACCACCCTGATTTTCATGCAAACCTGCTCCTGGGTGGCCAGGCTGGCAGCTATCCTGCCCTAGATGGCCACTTTCCTGTGCCTAGTGCGGAGGTCGTGGATGAGGTCCACGATCTCTGCACTGGACCAGGTGGGCGCCCGCCTCTTGCAGACCCGGGCAGGCTCCCGGGAGCCACCAGCCTGGTCCCAGGAAGAGGCAGAGGGCTGGGTGGCAGCGGGTGGCTGGCTCGTGCCGTGCCAGATGCAGGGTCTGCTGGCTGGATGCTGGCAGGCTTGCACCTGGCACGGGCACTGTAGCCAGACCGTGCCCCTTTAAGGGCTCCGGGGCCGGGAGGGGGGCAGAAGAGTTTCCCTGATGGTGCCCAGAGTGGCCACCAGGGAAAGCTGGGGAGGGCTAGCCTCCCACTAGTTCGAATTAAGTGGCTACACAGCCCTTCATTCGAACTACTTAATTCGAACTAGGCGTTAGTCCTCGTAGAATGAGGTTTACCTAGTTCGAATTAAGCGCTCCACTAGTTCGAATTAAGTTCGAACTAGCGGTTTGCCTGTGTAGCGCCTATCAAAGTTAATTCGAACTAACAGCTGTTAGTTCAAATTAACTTTGTAGTGTAGACATACCCTCAGTCTGAATCGGCTGCAGGTTTTTAATAACATTATAGACACGCTAGTAGGCTTTCATTCTTAACACAGGTGACAAACCGAGTGTGCTACAATCATGTCACCTAATTTCAGCCAGCAAATCCCAAAATCACTTTATTCTGGGTATAACTGGTGATGCTGACTGTACAAAAGGATTATGATTTTCTCCACTGATTCTAGGCTAGGTGACTCAAATATTTTCTCCGTCACAAGAGTTACTTTTGCTGCCAAATCAAGGTATTCTTATCAGGGTATCTTGAACTTTAATCTGAAAAAACGATCTTCTGGCAGGACTGTTCAGGATAAAGTCTTCTGGACAGAGGTTCCCTGAACTCCATATTAAGAGTAGATAATTCAGAATCAAAGGATTTTCCTGACACAAAACCCTCCTGCTAGCAGAATGACTTTTCATTCTAAATTACAAGAGGGTTGCTTTCATAGGTCAAATATTTTACTTCAGCCTGACAAATACTAAGGATCCAACCTAATGTATTACTGGGTCCTAGTCAGCTAGCTGGAGGAAGTGGCTCCCATGTGGCGGCCAGGAAACTGGGACCTTCTTGTGCTTCCCGTCTTGCACTCCTTGTAATAAGGCCATAAATTGTTCTAGTTTGGTGTCAATCACCTACACCCTTGATCTTGGCCAGTTTATTTTGTCTTTTCAGAGTCCTACCATCTACAGTCTGAACTTTCTGTGGCTATGTCGGTCACACAAACCCTACTGGCTAAGACTCCCCTCCACCCCCACTCCCACCCAAACCTTGACCCCCACATTTTATGGAGAATGGCCTCTAGTTGGAGATTAGGTCTCTGCCTTCAGCTCTAGCTCAGCTCTCCCAGGGTCCAGAGCATAACACTTAGAGATGTTAGTATGTATTGAATAGTCATGTAATTGCATGCAATTTTAGCAGTTACACGACTATTCACTAGTCCCTGGGGGTGGAGCAGGCAGCCAGTGCACTTCCCACCCCACTCCCAGGGAGCTCCCTGCCACTCCCTGCTACTGACTCGCTATCAGAGGCAGTGTGGGATTGCAGGTGGGAACTGGTCCCCTAGTCTTCCAGAAAGTCTTTGACAAGGTCCCTAACCAAAGGCTTGTAAGCAAAGTAATCTGTCATGGGATGAGAGGAGAGGTCATCTCATGAGTTCATATCTGGTTAAAGGATAGGAAATAAAGGGTAGAAACAAGTGGTCAGTTTTCAGAATGGAGAGAGATAACTAGCAGTGTCCTGCAGGGGTCCATCCTGGGACCAATCCTATTCAACATATTCATAAATGATCTGAAGAATAGGATAAAGAGTGAGGTGGCAAAATTTGCAGATGATACTAAACTGCTCAAGACAGTTAACTCCAAAGGAGACTGTGAAGCTCTTCAAAAAGATCACACAATAGTAGGTGACTGGACAAGAAAATTGCTGATGAATTTTAATGTTGATAATGCAAAGTAATGCATATTGGAAAACATAATTGCAACTATATGTATAAAATGACTAATTTAGTTGTTACCACTCAAGAGAGAGATCTTGGAGTCATTGTAATTTTCTGAAAATATCAACTTAATGTGCAGCTGCAGTCAAAAAAGCAAACAGAATGTTAGGAATAATTTAAAAAGGGTTATAAAATAAGACAGAGAATATTTTATTGTCTCTATATAAATCCATGATATGTCCATATCTTGAATATTGTATGCAGATGTAGTTACCTCATCTCAGAAAATATATCTTGGCACTGTAAAAAGTTCAGAAAAGGGGAAAAATGTGGACGTAATTGCCAGAGGAGGTTGTGAAGGCCAGGAATTTAACAGGGTTAATAAAGAACATGATGAACTCGTGGAAGGTAGGTCCAGAAATGGCTATTAACTAGGATGGGCAGAAATGTTGCCCCTACCCTCTGTTTGTCAGAAGCTGGGAATGGGTGGATCACTTGATGATTACCTGTTCTGTGCATTTCCTTTGGGGCATCTGGCATTAGCCATTGTCACGAGACAGGATACTAGAGTAGAAGGTCCTTTGGTCTGACTCACTATGTCAATTATTGGGTACTTACGTTCTTATGTGTGTATAACTAGACAGAAGGGCATATCAACAGGGTCCTACAAGGATAGTTCTGATGCTGGTCAATATCTTCATCAATGGTTTAGAAAATGACATAGAGAATTAATTTATAGATGATGCCAAATTGGCTCATAACTGCTATCCCAGGTTGGATTAAAATATAAATGATCTGGACAAACTGGAGAAATGGTCTCAAGTAAATAGGATGAAATTTAATAAGGACAAAAGCAAAGTACTCAATTGAGGAAGAAACAATGAATTGCACACATTCAAAATGGGAAATGACTGCCTCGGACAGAATATTGCAGAAAGAGATCTGGAGGTCACAGTGGATCACAAGTTAAGTATGAGTCAACAGTGTAACGCTGTTGCAAAAAATGCCAATATAATTCTGTGATGTATTAGCAGGAAT